CTTTCAAAACCGGTCTGGCAGGCTGCCAGGCCTGGGGTGGGGGCAGTGACTGACAGGCTGGTTATTGGAAAGCTCCCATCATTAGCCCAGGAATGTTGTTTGGTTACCATGGTGACCTTCACTACAAGCAGACTGACTAAAGCACAAGGAATCTGTTACCTAAAACCAATGCCCCACGGATCCTGCAGCTTCAGGGACCATGCTTATCAGCGGCCTGTTCCCCTTGACCCCATATTCCTGCCCCTCCCGGGCTGGGCCTCCCAGCTGCCTCCCATATGCAGGACGAGGAGAAAGGACTAGCGAAGGCATCTCCAAGCTTGCACGGGACCTCTTACATTCCTTGGCCTGGCCTGGCTGGGAACCCAGGTCCAAACAGGGAGCCTGCTGCCGCCCCCCCTGAGGCCCCCTGCAGGCTGGCCGGGCACAGCCCGGCCAGCACATGTGTCCAGGATTTAGAGGCTCTCAGGATTTCAGGAGGCTGCTAGGGGTGTCTGGTTCCCCCCGTGCCAGGCTCACACTGTCCCCGCGGGGCTGTCAGTCTCTGCCTCATCACGTTTCTGCTTTTTAAACCCAGGCTCCATTCACTCAAGGTCATCCCACAGCACGGAAATCAAGACCCTCTTTACTTTGCTTTCTAATCCCTGAATTCAGGAGGATTTTTAAAAAAGTCCACGAAAGCTGGGTTTCCATCCAGGAGTCTTGAGACCGCCTGTAGGAACTGCAGCCTCTTGTGCAGCCAAGGAGCTTAACCACCTTTTCACGGGGCTTCCCCGCGTCCACCTCCCTGCCCTCACGCACAGGGTGCCCTCCTCTACCTCCGGGACCATGGCATGCACTGACCCCCTCGGGTCCCATGTTGCAGTCTTACACTGTCTGTGGGCTCCCTTCCAGAACCCTCCCACAGTGTTGCCCTTGAACATGGTTGTAAACTGACTGCAAGACCTTCTCTTGTCTGAGTCTCATAATAGACCTTGGAGGCAGAGGGAGGCAGGACAGACATCAGTCTTTCGGCAGATGAGAAAACAGGGGCACAGAAAGGAGGAGTAAGCTCCTGGTGGTGGCACAGGTAAGTGACAGGCACGACCCCATGAGGGCACGGACTTCACTGTGGCCCTCACTCGGGGATAAGCTCACATGGAAAGGGGTCCATTCCACCCACCGGCATCCCCCCGTGCTAGGCCTCCTCCCCCCACCACGGGCCTGCCAGCCTCTGCCTTCACTAAGGCAGGCTCTGCAGAAAGAAAAAGGCTCTAAAAGGCCTCAGCCACCCAGGACAGCCGCTGGGGAGGTGCTCGGTGGCAGATAGACCACAGGCCTTTAAGTGCCCCCGAATGCAGACTTTGTTGGGGACACTGAGGTCAGGGCGAAGGGAGTTTGATTTTTTTTGTTTGGCTGAAGTGCTATTTACTGGACTGGTCATTTAATTAACTGCGGTGGCAGCAGCTGGAACCACACACAGCTTGTTCTCAGTGCAGGGAGCAGCTGGAGAAGCAGGATGCAGTTTCAATTGAAGAGCAATGACATTTTTCAGTGATCCCTGACCGGTAATGGACTCAATGACATTTCCCGCTAATCCATGGGTTTCTGTACTCTGGGGCTTCATCTGTGGTGAACAGTATTGACTTATTTGCCAAGAGCCATGGTCATACCCCACAGTCACTCCACAGAGCTGTGTGGTAGGTGGATTTTCCACCCCCACTCCCAACCATAAATATATATATGTATTTTTTTTTTCTTAAGGTGGATTTTTTTTTTCTTAAAGCAACAGAAATGTATCCTCTCAGAGTTCTGGAGGCCAGAATCCTCCAACATTTTCCAGTTAGTTTTGCAACTTTTTAGGGCCAGCTCAGGTCAAGACAGAGCTGACCTCATGGTCATAAAGGTGAGGGTGGCTCAGAGATAAAGAATGCTTCTTCATCACCTGCTACCCCCGACATGCAGACTGTGCAAAGTGAGGCACCCCTGGGGATGGGATGCTCTGGTCCCCAAATGCTCCACAGCAGGCCTCTCTGCAGTGACAGAGGAACAGAAGAACCCGGCAGAGGCCTCATGAGATGGGACTAAATGCTTTCCTTCCTCGGGCTCTGACCTCAGATGTGTCTCCCTGCTGCCAGCCCCACAGCCGCAGCCCCTGTGAGCTCCTGAGGCCCTGCAGTGGCTCTGCGGTGTCTGTATGGGGGGAGCGCTGTTCCCACGTGGAGGCTGCCCATTTAGAAGGCTCCAACCTGCAGAAGTGGGAGGACAGAGCTGACAGAGAAGGGCACAGTTACCCTAGAAATTGACAAACAGCACAATCTGTACTGAGGCTTCTCACTTTTTTTGGGTTTAGGGTCCTTCTGAAGATCTGCTGAAAGCCATCTCCCTGAATACCCGCACACAGGCACAGATGTGATAGCTCAGGTCCACCCACAGGCCTCCTGGGGGGAGTCACCAACCTCACCGCAAGGCCCACCTCCCCGCTCCCCTATGAAGACGCTTTCAGTGAGTGAAGCATTTCCTGGTGAAGGCATCTCAGTGAGGTGGGAGGAAGGGTAGAGAGTGCCCCTGGGGGGAAGCCTGGGGGGAGAAGACGGCTCCTTACCCAGTGCAAGAGCCAAGGAGGATGGAGGAAGAAGACTGGAGGCACCTCCCTGTGGCGGGCAGGGGAGCTGAAGGAGAGCCAGAGGGACCCACATACTGGACAAACCCATTCCTGCGGTGCCTCACACAGCATGGGCTTCAAGCAGATTTTCACAAAGTGGCATTAGTCTCCCCACATCAGGCCAGGGGAGGTGATTCTGCCAGCAGAAAACATGCAGCCCAGAAGGTGGGAAGAGACACTGTGCAGTAAGATGCCAGATGCTGGAACAGGAGGCTCCTTCCCCAGGACCAAGGGTCCAAGGAGGGGCCAAGTGGGCAGCATGTGAATCCTGTGAATCCCCTTCCCTCGCTTCCATCAGGACAGCTCTGCTCCCATCTGTTCATGTTCTCAATTTGCATGTAAGATTTCACTTGGAAAAAGCACTTGCTGACAAAACAATGTCTGACGCCTGGCCTAGCCTCTTGTTTCTTCTGTGACACACACTCTGACTCAGGGGCTGGGCGAAGAGCCCCCTCCCCACTCTGGGATTCTGAGCCTTTCTTCGTGACAGTTTCTGTTTCCACTGAAGCCTAACTGACAACAGAGTGAACACACACACACACACACACACACACACACACACACACATGGCCGGCAGTGGACAGCAGGTCAGACCCTGCCCTGAAGACGGAGCTTGGAAGAAAGCAAGGTGACCGTTACTGGATGAGGAGGACCTTTGTCCTCCGTGTATATTCATTAAAAGTAAAAAATAGACTTCCACACAGTAGGTCCTGCTGTCCTGTCCTTGGGATTATCCAGACAAGGGAACTAGCCCCTTGTCCAACAGTTATCTGTGTTTTAGTATTCCCTAAGCTACCTGCCTTTTGAAGTGAAGTGATTTCAATTTGAATAATCTCTCAAATGCAGGGTTGAGGCCAAGAGTCAGGGCCGAATCCTGAACACAAAGAATGGGCTATGTCGAGCTGGCCACGGACTGTCTCTGCTTACCCCTGGCTGTGGGCAGCTGGGACCCACCTGGGCCAGGTTGGCGGGGGGGCCAGGCAGGCCAGGAGTCAGGCGTTGGGTGGAGGGTCAATCTGGACCAGGGTAAGCAGGGCTGACCTGCAGGATGAACGCCCACCCTCAGCCTCATTCACTGGGGCTCCCTCCTCAGTGGGGAGCTCACGGTGACGACACTGCTGCTCCCAAAGCACGGTTCTTGAGCCTCGGCAAGGACAAAGCCACCTCCAGCAGTCCAAGTCCACAGGCAAAGCCACGTGCAGCGTCCTCTGAAGGAGGCCAAAGGCACAGGAAAGCCCAAGCCTCGCCCAGGGGTCAGCCCTGTCCCTGATGGTCTGGGGAGGGACAGAGGGGAAGCCCGGGCTCCCCACGTGAAGGAACCTCCCTGGACCGGGACAGCTGCAGCTTCCCCTCATCTCCTAGCACAGCTGTGGCACCCACCAGGTTCCCCCAGTTGTTGTGAACCTGTTTCCATCGGCAGCGCCAGTCACCTCTCAGGGTAACCAGGGCCGTGCTTCTCTTTGCTATCTGAAGCAGGACAGCCTCGGGCTGGTTCTAAATGGTCTTGCTTCAGACCCTAAGGTGGAACAGCGCGAGAGTGCAGGTGCTCAGGGGCCCCCTCACCCTGGGCTCACAGGATCCAAAGAAACAAGGTCTGTTACACCCAGGGTCACCCACCCCTGAGGGGGCAAAAGTCAAATGTCGACCTCCCCTTAGTTCCCTCCCACAGAGCACTGCACCCTCCTGCCTCAGTGGGCCCAGGAAGGCTCTGGTTCCCCAGTGGCCTGGTTGCGGGGCAGCAGGTCCTCTGTGTATAGGTGGGGGCAGGAGGGTCTAGTCCTGCCCACCTGCCACGGCCCGGGCCAAGTGCAGCGTGAACCCTGCTCCAAAGAGAGGGGCATCGGGGTGATGTGGTACACGGGGGTGTGGAGGAGCTGAGGATGGAGGGAGATAACCCCTCCCCCCCAACTGCCCGTGGCCTGCCTGGAGGCAGGAGGATGGCTCACTTGGCCTCCGCCAGCCCAGCCAGTGTTAGAATCCCATCCTTGGCTGGCTGTGCCAGGGTGATCATGAAGTCACAAATGTTGGTGTCTCTATGAGACAATGCAGAGCCCAGGGCAGGGTGGAAGCAGCCTGAGCATGTGTATTTGAGCACAGTCTCCTCTGTGGTCCATGCAGCCCCCATGGAGCCTGCAGTTGTCATACAGAGCTCACCACGCACCTCCTGGCGCAGAACACCAGAGCCATTCTCCAATCCTACGAGTCCTTACCCTGCCTTGTCTCTCCAGCTGGGGAGTGTGCATGCAGTAGGCACTTAATCAATGTGTTGGCAGGCTACATGGCAGGGTGGGATGTGCATAGGTACCTGTGTCTGTGGCCTGCCAGCCCCCCAGCCTAGCAGTGTCCACAGGGAACTCACTTGAAGTTCTCGGGATACTCCGTGATGGCCATGTTGATGACATCCAGAGCATGCTGGTAGTGTTTCTGGGCGGAGAAGAGGAGTGCCAACAGGTGGAGGGCGTTGGCATCATCCCTGCACATTTTCAGGGCCTCCTGCAGCTGCTCCATGGCGCTGGAGATCTGCCAAAGAAAACTGCCAGCTTAGTGACTTTCCCAAGGCCCACACCTCCCCCCCCGGGACTTCAGCGCCAGGTGCCAGCCATGGAGAGTGCACCAGACTCAAGCGAGACCCGAGGCACTGGGGCGCAGGACTGGTGCTCTGACGAGAAAACCCACCCCCAAAAAACACGGCAAGAGGGATCTGCTGTCCTAACTCAGGCTCAGACAGCCACTGCTGTCCCCAGTCTGGAATAAAGAGTAGGTTTACAGTGCAGCAGGAAGGATTTGGGTAGACACCGGGAAGCGTTTCCTAAACTGGAGGAGTGGGGGCTGTCAGGAGAGGCCACCCAGACCACTAGCTACAGGCCCAGAGGTGGCCAGGCTGTCCTGTCTGAACGTGTTCCTGTAGGGATGGGAAAAAACAACCTGATATGGGGCGACAGATAAGTACCCCTTCCTCTCAGGGGTTCACAGTGGCAAGAGCTTGGGCTCTGGGGTCAGATGGGGCATGGATCCCAGCTCTGCCACTTCCTAGCTGGCACCTTAGGGCAAGGACTTCACCTCCCTGAGCTGCAGTGCTTTACACTGCAGAAGGAGGATAACCATCACCTCTCTTAGAGTCACTGAGAGGATGAGATAATGTACGAAATGTCCTGCAGAGTACCTACCACACAAGTTTGAAATGTGCATTTCCCTCTCAAGCCCCTAAAGCCCAGGCAGCTAATGAACAGGTCTATCCATACCAGAGCCCCAGCCTCCCAGGAACTCCATGAGTCTTTTTTAGGAAGTCTTGCTCCTTACCAAACCTCAGACACCAGCCTCCCACGATCCTTGAGGGGCCTATGGCCCAGGCCAGCTGGGACCTTGGGTCCCTGGTGTGCCTGGTCTCCACCCAGCCTCTGCACAGGCTGTGGGCACTAGTGCCAGGCCCCGAGTCCTCCCACTGGGACCTTCCTTTGTGGAAAGGTCAAGGAAAGTGAAGAGAAGGAGGAAGCTAAGGTCAGAGTGGCCACTGGCTCAGCTTGTCCGTGTCTCCCTGAGGCTGCTCCCGCCCTGGTGATTCTCCAGAGCAGACCCCATTATCTTGGGCCGGGTATCCAAATCCACAGCTGTCACTGCTCGGGCAGCCAGACATGCTCTGGGCAGGATGGGCCAGAGGGCCTCAGAGACCCAGGCAGGCCAGGTCTAGTTTAGAGTCCATTCCAGGGGTCCTCGACCCCCTGAGGCTACCCAGATCTGGGGTCCCCAAGGAAACTGGGCACCAGGCTCCACTGGCCTGGCCCAGCCATCTCTCTGGGAGGACAGTCGCCATTCATCAGAGGTGGCTGAATAATTAAAGATATTAAAAAATGCATCACCAAAGGTTTACCATGAACTTGATTGGCAAGAAAAGCACTGGTTCTTTTACAGAAGACTAAAAATAAATTAGTCTCAGGTATTTTTCCGTCCATGCCCCTGGGAGCACCAGACAGAGTGATGCTCCTTGGAGAGGGGCAGAGAGGTACCAATGCCTCATCCAGGACCTGGAAGTCAGGAGCCGTGGCACAGTGGGGAGAGGGGCTGGAACAGGTGGTGGCCTGGAGGTGGAGGAGGGATGGGGTGGGTGCAAGAGGAAAGGAGGGAAGCAGCGAACGGCAGAGGGAACGACAGCAGGGCTGCCATGGAGAAAGTGGCAGACACAGAGGACCCGGAGAGGGAGACACAGTGAGTCAGAAACACAGTGACAATGAGTGGCAAGGCAGGTCAGGGCAGACATGAGCACCAGGTCAAGGGTGTGGGCATGGGGTGAGCGGGAAGGGGTCCCAGTGATGAGAATAAGGGTGCAGGGAAGGGAAAAGCCAGGCTGATGCAGGGCTTGAGGGGAAGGTGAGGCAGACAATGACATAAAGAGCCTGGCTGACCCTGGAGGCAGAGAAACAGCTCACTGAATTAACCAAAGATGAGACCAGAGGCCAAAGGTTGACACAGACCAGGAAGACCAACCGCTAGGCCAGCAGACAGGGCTCCAAGTGCCCTGCCCAGATGAGTCGGGGCAGCCAGATCCCTAGAGCCCTGTGGGTGTCTAACTGGTGCAGGATGGGGTCATGGGCAGGGTGGGGTCTGGAGCAGGCACCTGGGTTCAGTGCTGGCCCGGCCAGGCCCCAGTTCCTGAGCTCATGACAGCCTCAGTTGCTTAGGTATAAAATGGAGCTAATGGAACCCTCCCCATCAGACATGGGGCTTATGCAGGCCAGTGAGGAGCAGGGGGCACAGCAGCACCCACGTTAGCCAGAGCTGCCCGTCACCTGGCCAACCCCAGAGGCTGGAGGCTCTGCTGACTTCTCTCTAGCAGTCTGGAGCCCAGCCGGTTCCCCGCCAGCGCAGGTGAGGAGAGCTGAGCTGTGGGAGGCCAGGCTTGTCTGCAGTCCCTGAGCAGTCCCAAGGCCACACTCACTTGGTCAAGGTGACCAAGAGGTCCTGCTTTGGAGGCCAGGCGTGTGCACAGAGCATCAGCCTGAGGGCCAAGGCACAAGATGAAAGTAGAGACGCTGAAGGGCCTGGGGGGCAGAGCCCTGCCTCTTTTCTGAAAGGCAACCTGCTTGGTGGGCAACTGCCCAAACTCACTCCTTGGACAGAGCAGTGTCCTCTTGGCATCAACAGATCAGTTGTTCAGCTTGGGGAAGGAAGGCAGGTTGGCCTGGAGAGCTGGTGGTGGTCCCAGGGGAGTAAAGGTGGTCAGTGGATGGGAGGCCCCCATCAGCTCACAGAAGCTGAGCCTGAGGGTGGTGTTCACAGGTTCAGGGAAGAGCTTTGGGGTCCCACAGAAACAGTTCCATATGCCCATCATTCTGCTCCCCACTCACGGAAAACTCAGCAGAATGTGAAGACACAAATGCTGAACGTGGTCACTTGTTAACTTCTTAGGGGACTGAAATGTTCCAGGGGGTGTGAGGGCAGAGAATAATCCCTTCCTGTGTGCCCACAGTGGGCCGAAACTTTACCACATTATCTGACTTAATCCTTACTAGGTCCCTCTGAAGTGGAGGACGAAGGGGCTCACATGACAGATAAGGAAATAGAGGCTCAGAGAGGTCAAATGACTTGCAAGGGTCACACAGCCGGTAAAAACAGTGATGCCAGGAGAAGATCAGCAGCCCTCAGGGATCTGGGGGTTAGGAATTGTGAGGACCCACCTGGCGGACGAGGGCCAGCTGCAGAGAGACATAGAGGATGACCTGGGGGTCGCCAGGCGCCAGCTGCTGGGCTCTGTATGGGGAAAGGGAGCGACAAGTCAGGCGGCAGGCCAGCCCTGTGCTGGGAGCTGCAGGGCAAAATGTCGGGGATTCTGCCCGGCCCCACCTTGAGGGGGGCCCAGCTGGGAGATGATGGATCAGGCAGAGAGCCCCCAGGCAGCAGGCTCAGAGAGGGCTGGCTCTGCGGAGGTAGGGGGCCGTCTGGGAGGGTAGACTGGGGCGGTGGGGGGGGATGCTCCTCGCCTCTGGGCAGCTGTGGCCTGGCTGTGGCCTTGTATAGAGCCTACCTTCTCCACCATAGGACAGAAGGGAACACCTCCCCGAAGGTGGAGGGGCCAGGAATGGCCTCTCTGGGCAAGAAGCCTTGGGAAGAAAGAAGCTTGGGAATGAAGAGCTGGCCCTGGGAGCTCAGAGGGTGTTGGCCAGGATGGGAATCTCCTACCTCCCTGGGTTTCGGAATAACCTGCCCCAGAGCGGGGTTGGGTGAGCTACAGGTTCCCATGAAGCTGGCACGAGGAATCCGGGGTAGGTCCCTACCCGGCAGCTCCACATCAGCGCTCAGAGGGAGCAAGACACACAGGGCTCAGAGGGAAGAGCCCTGCACTGGGCCAGAGGAGGGAGCGGGGAGGGATGCTCAGGCAGAGAGAGGGGCTCAGCAAGGATGGGTCTGAGGGAAGGAGGCTGCTGTTGGGGGACGGGCGTCTCTGCCTCCCCTCCTTCTCTCCCTCCCAGACCCTGGGCTGCCAGGAAATCTCTGTGAAGCCTATAGGTGGAGGTCGTCCCAGCCCTCGGGCTGGGAGGAGGCAAACAGCATTTTTGAGCCCCTGCTACATGTAGGGCACTGTGCAAGGTGCTTATCCTGCTTTACCTCATGTAATTATGACAACAATACTGGTTATTATTCCCATTCTAAAGCCCTGAGCTCAGGAGCACAGAGGCTGAGCCTGGTAGGGGCGCTCCACCAATGCTGAAGGGCTCAACCCACCCCACCCAACCTCAAAAGCCTGTCCCTGCTGCTTGTGTGAGCTCTCAGAGCCTCGGTTTCCTGGACAATAAAATGAAGCTAGAAACCTGTGCTCTGTCTACACCAGAGGGTCCACTGGGAAAAAGCACGTGAATGGGCCACCTGGTGCCTCTACACGACTCGGGCCCTCCTCACCTCTCCAGGGTCTGCAGCGCTTTCCGGTGCAATTCATCTTGCTTGGACTTCAGAGTTGCTGCAGGAGACAGGATGGGGACAGAGCCATGAAGGGACACTGAAGGAGCGCCCACCTACCCTGCCCATCCCAGGGCACACAGCTCCACGGGGAAAGGCCCCAGGAGGGCACTGTCTGGCAAATGCTTGCACTTGAGCAGCTCCTGACTGATGCCACCCACCGCCTGGGTCACCAGGGGAGGGTGTGGGGGTGTCCACCTGGCCCCAGCCTCCCGGCACGTTTCTTGGCACACCAGGTCCTTCTGCTCCTTTGCCTCTTTGCCACCTGGGCCAACACGACCCTCTCAAAGGCCCAAGCCTTGAGAGAAAGGTTACCACCTCTGTCGGGTCACATTCCTCCTTGAGCTTCCTTACCCACAAGGCTTCCTTTCTGAACAAATCTTAAGTGTACAATTCAAGTAGCATTAAGTACATTCACGACGTTGTGCACCATCACTACTCTCCATCTGCAGAGGCTTCTCATCATCCCTAACAGAGTGTCTGCGCCCAGTGAACACATTCCCCTCTCCCCAGGCCCCCAGTCCCCTCTATTTTCCCCATGAGGCTTCTTGCTTTAACTCAAACCAGGCACCTTCCTGGTAAGTTGAATCCTACTTTAAATGTGGTAGGACAAGTTTCCAAGCCTTAGCCGCACACTGAACCACCTGGGAAGCTTTAATTTTTTTTTTTTTTTAATTTATTTAATTTTCCCCCAAAGCCCCAGTAGATAGTTGTATGTCATAGCTGCACATCCTTCTAGTTGCTGCATGTGGGACGCGGCCTCAGCATGGCCGGAGAAGCGGTGTGTCACCGCGCGCTCGGGATCCGAACCCAGGCCGCCAGCAGCGGAGCGCCCGCCCTTAGCCGCTAAGCCACGGGGCCGGCCCTCCTGGGAAGCTTTAATGCCTGTCGCACAGGCTCCAGCCAGACTAGGTCAGTCCTGCTGCAGGAGCAGGTGACGGATGGTCATCAGAGGTGCCAGTGTATAAAGCAGCCCTGCTTTGGATGTGCGTATGGCACGACTGAGACCCACTGTGCACAGAGGGTTAAAGGCACAGGAGGATCTCTCGCTCCAAGCAGACCAGACTCTGACCAAGGGGCTGACGACCCCCTCACTTGACCAGTGTGGAGAGACCCCCGTGTTCCCTGTCGCAGGCTCACCAATACCCAGAAGAAACGGTGACCACTGTCACCAAAGAATAGGAAGCTGGCTGCACCAGGATCTCGCACCTCTTCTTCTCATCTTTGTGCAAGTACCAGGCTGCTGTTACCTCTCACTGTGCGGGGCCTCTGAAGCCCGCTCCCAGGGCTGGCATTCGGGCAGTGTGGACGGGACCCACTGCTATTCCGGGTTTGGTCTGGGTGGGGGCCCCTCACTTCCTTTCCCTCAGGCTGCAAAGGTACAGAAGTAGGTGGCTGCCTGATCCATGGTGGGGGACACACAGCTGAGCTGGCAGGGTTGGGGAGAGAACGCCAGGCTCCGGGCAGCAGGAGTGGAATCCACCCGTCAGGCACAAGTATTTATTAAACACCTGCTGTGTACCCAGCTCTCTGCCAAGTGTCGAAGGGGAATGCAAAGCCCCAGAAGATCAGAGTGGTGCCGAAGGTAAAGGTGAACGAGAATGGAGATGCTGTGGGGTCAGGGCCGCGGCACGTTACAGACTGCAGGCACCACAGGAGCTCCGGAGGCAGAGAGCAGCACGGGCTCCGCAGGAGTGAGGCCTGGCCTTGAAGAGTGGGAAGAACTAGGTCCATGAAGAGGGCGTGTCTGAGCAAACTGAAGGGTGTGTGTACGCGTGCGCGCGCGCTTGTGTGTGTATGCACGCACACATCTACCCCAGAGTTGATGGAGGTGTGTTGGGGGGTGGGCACTGGTGGGACAAGATGCCTGGGAGGCCATCAGGAGGCCTGGGTCACCCCAAGCAGAGGCTCCTGGGCCCTGGCACTCACCGTCGGTGGCCTGCAGGCTGTAGGTGAGACCCAGTGCCAGGTAGCCCTTGGAGAGGAACTCCCCAGCTTCCTCCCCGAGGTCGATGACCATCGTGGCAAAGTGCTCTGCCTCCTCCAGCTGCAAAGAGGAGAGGCAGAGGTCACCGGGGAGGGAAGCTGCTCACAGTCATCAGCCTAGGACACTCAGAACTGCAAGTCCTCGCGGGTGGGCAGCATGACCAGAGAGGCCAGGCAGCTTGTCTGAGACCGCACAGCTGCCGAATAGGAGGATCAAAGCTGTTTCCTGGACCAGCGACTCCCTGGACCTCTCCCCCGACCAAAGGGCCTTGTGTTTAAGGACACAGGGCACTACCTCTCACAAAGCTTGCCCCAGGATCCCGGCTCCCTAACCCTTGCTCTGCTGAGAGCACGGACCCAGGACCAGGCCAGTCTGTGCCAGCCCTTCTCCTCACCTGGCCTCTGTAGGTGCCTGTGCCTGTCCCTGCCCTGCTCAGCAGAGAGGGAAGCCCGGTGGGGGGGCAGGCAGGGCTCTGGGACTGGGCCTCGGGGACACCACAACCCTGCAGAGTAGGCAGGCTGCCACTCTGGCTCCGTCTGTGAGCTCGCTCCCTGACACAGGGAGCTCAGACTTTTTAGGGGAACAAGGCCTGGGGCTGTTTTTGTCCTGGGAGCAGAAGGGACTGTTCCAGTTGGAAAGAGATCAATTGGCGTGAGGCATGTGCACATACATCACCATACACAACATGTGACACAAAGTGGGGGCACACACAAGGCAGGCCTCACAAGCCCTCTAGGGCACCCATGGCAATCAGGCCTGTTGGGGAGGCAGGGATAGCTGGGGGCCTCAGCTCTGCCCGTGCACAGCCCACAGGCCCCCAAGAAATGCCCCGTCCCTCCTACTGAACCCAGGAATGTCATCTGCCCACCTGCCTGGCATGGCAGTGTCCCGGTGTTTGTGTCACCAAGAACAAAGATCGGTCCCGCCCCACAGCAAGGGGGCCGCACCAACCATACCCGAAGCCCCACTGCCACCCAGATGTCAAGGCCCCTTGTGTGAGCATCTCCCCCAATAGAGGCCTACAGAGTCAGCCCACCGGGGAGCTAAATTCAAACCCAAGTTGCTTCTGGCACCCAAGCCAGTGTGCCCCTGCCCCGCTCCTGTCCCTGCCCAGGCCCACCCCACCTGGGTGGAGCAGGAGGAGGCAGCTCTGTGCACCTGTGGCCTGACCACGGGCCGCAGCAGGGGTGCCACTGGACTCCCCCTCCCTGGAATGTGGAGTTGAGATGCTGAGACAGAGGCCATCAGTCATGGGGAGGGGAGCTGGGCTCAGTCCCCTACCTGGGCTCAGCGGTGGTGAGTATTGTGCAGGAAAAGGCTGAAGGAGCAGAGAACCCACTGAACAGAGAGGGAAAAGACAAAACCAAAGTATAAGAGAGGCAGAAGGGTGAGCTGACAGCCCAGAGAGAGACGGTAGGAGGCGGCTGTAGCCCTCTGTAGCCCGGCCAACATCCTTGACAAACGCTGACCAAGGCAGCCCTCCAGCCCCCTCGTGGTGGAGCTCGAGCTGCCGGCCTGAGCAGCGGGCCGCCTCCAGGTTGGTGGGCTGGTCACTGAAAGGAGAGGGAGTCTGGGGGAGACTCGGGATTTGGGGGAGGTAGCAGCTCAGGAAACCCTGCAGCCACCTGCTGCCCAGCCTCAGCTGGCCGGGTGGGCCCAAGACTGCAGAGCTAAGATCCGTCTCCTGGAGCAGCTGGCCCGGCAGGACTTGGGAGGGCTACGGGGGCCTGAAGTCAGAGCCAGAGTGAGAGGAAAGCACTGGAGGACAAGCTCCCAGACAGGCTCCGATCCTGGCTCAGCAGCTGACAGCCATGGGGCCTCGAGCAAGTCACTTAGTTTCTGTGCCTCAAAGGTCTGCAACTGCAAAATGGGGAGCTAGAGCCCTACTCCAACCGCTCCTCCCTACAAACCTCCACTGAGGCTCTGCAGCGCCAGGCTCTGTGCTGGGCCTGGCCGGGGATGCCCAACGACCAGCGGGCAGGGTGCCAGGGTGAGCAGGCACAGAATCCCTGCCAGCTGACACAAATGAGTGTGAGACCCCACAGGATAAGGTGGCTCTTAAGTAAGCTCCCTGTGTGGTGCTGGCATGGGGTCACAGGAGCTCCAAGAGAAGGGCAATCAAGTGGCTGGGGTTTTCCAAGGAGGCCTCATGGCAGCGGGGGGCAGGAGGCCCCCAGGGAGGGTAAGTGAGCAAACAGCACCTTTCCTCCCTCCTAATAGCCCACTGCTGATCTGGCTCATCTCACTGTCTTTAGGCATCATCACTCAAACAGGGGCAAGCTTTTTTATAAACTATCAAGTACAAGTTATAAAAAGAATCCAGAAACCTACATGCTCTTCCCATGGCCATGTCCTTCTACTCAGCAAATGCCAGCCTCTACCTCTTGCAACCCATGTAGAATGGGTGCAAGGAACAAGGCTCAGCAATTACTGGCAAACAGGGAAAAGTTACTCTCCAGTTCCTACACGTCATATTCTGGATTAATAGATCTCACCATCCTTTAGCTTTAAAAAGTGAAAACATACATCCTTAGCTTGTTTAACTTGTGATCCACTCTGACCCCCAGGTCAGTAGGCTTCCTTGGCCAGTACTTGCCAGCCTTGTCTATGTAGTTTAAAATGGTCTCTACGGATGGTGTCAGCATTTGTCTCAGATCAAATTCATAAGGCTTCAGCATACCATTTTCCTACATGGCCGACACTATTTTGATTTCTATTACCTATCACAAACCAGCTTTTTGCATGTGGAGTCAATGCAGTGATTAGGAAGGAAAATAAGTATTATCAATTGTATTAAGTAGACAATACACAATATGATAACGTACAGTATTAATATACATGGGTGCTCTAGCCACATAAGCGAAAAATGCTGTCACAGCAAAAACAAAAAATCCCAAAATATATATGTATTTTAAATATAAAATATTTTAAAAACCAAAATATACATATTAAAAAATATATATATATATAATGCACAGTTCTCCTTCATCTAAGACAAGAGTGGGAATCCTAAAGCCCTTGAGAATGTGGTTTTGCCACCTCTGTTCTAAAGTACTATAACCCCACTCAAGTCCAGAATCAGCTCCACACCCATGAATAAGCTCTCCATGCAGAGCAGGGCAGCCTAGTAGCTAAGAACACAAGCTCTGAGGCCAGACTTCCTGGGCTCAAATCCTGGTTTGGCTACTTACTAACTGTGTGACCCTGGGCAAGTCACTCCACTTTGCTGTGCCTCAGTTCCCTCTTCTGTAAAATGGGTATAACAGGTGTCTGCCTCATAGGGTTGCTGGAGGACTGAATGAGATGAAGACACAATGAATGCTCAGAGCAGTGCTTGAACAAATGTAAACTATTATTATTATTAGTTGCAATTTTATACCTGCAATTAGTTTAATCTTCCAGAATTTTTTTCAGTCTCAGTCTGACAGATGTGACAAGTGCCACCTGAGTCCCTCTCTCCTATAGCTACCTGACCTTACGGATGAATTAGGAAGTGGCATCAAAGACCCTCTTGGAATCCAGAGAGGGGACACTACTGCCTGCCTTTTGTCTCTGGGCTGAGCCTTAGTCACAGAAAAGGAGTGACACTACACAAGGACAACCTGTGCAGGCCACCGTGCTGGGTTGGTCAGACTCTCTGACCCCGACCCCTGGTCCAGGACACACATACATATAACCACCAACCTATCCTTTGTCACAATACGCACCCTCGCCATGGGTAATACTTTCAGATATTTTCTATCCTACTCTCTGCTATTCTATTTCCAATGTTTTTTTTTAAGAATTCTATTTTACAACCCACGAATGGGTCTCATCCACAATCTGAAAAACTAAATGGCTGATTGAGCGACCCAGTGCCTGCCCATCTCCGAGCACCCTAGCCATCTTCCCCCACCTGCTACCTTAGGTGCCCTTACCAATCTCCAGACACTTCCTCCTGTGGCCTCAAAAGTCAACAGCTGGTGGCTCTATAGCCGTGGCCGCTGCTTCTGCAAGACTAGCTCAGGTTGTAGCACTGGGCCCTCCTTGCTCATCAAAATACTTGTAGGGTGAAGGGTTTTCAAAGCTCTATTCAACCGTTCCCCTCCCAGGAGACAGTGCTTTTAAGATCTCCCTTACCTACAGCAGCCACATAACTGCCACAAAACCCAGACGGAGACCCTCTCTTTCTCCCTCCCTTGTAATTCTAGAGCCATTTTGTGCCCACCTGGCCTTTCATGGACCCGCAGCCACCTGAGGGAGTAAGTGTTTCACAGCTGACGGTTCTGAGGCACAGGGAACTTGGGGACCTACCCAGGGTCATCTGGCTAGTAAGTGGCAGAACTGAGTTTCCAGCCCAGGTCTCCTGAGTCTACCTCTGGATCTTTCTGAGCTGCCTGATTCACGGCTGCCCTCTGTGGTTCTTCATTTTTCTCCTCTCTGACCCTCTGGGAAAAGGATGCATTGAAGAGTACACAGTTTTGACCCTTTGCTTTTGCTTTCCATAAGTAAGGACAGTGTTCCCGTGACTTTACAAGTTCCTGCATCCCTCCCGTTTTCCTAATTTGGTTCCCACACAGACAGGCTTCTGGCGTGCACACTTTGCTCAGCTCAGGCTGCCTTTCACTTCAAGGGCTGTCTCATTCGTCTTGCAGTGGGCCAAAGAGCTTGTCCCCCTGGAATCTTCACCTCTTCCTCCCTTCCTGGGAACCACAGAAAGCTCATTTCTGAGTCTGCAGAGTTCTGTCTGAAGAGCACCTCTGGTTTCTCCTTAGTCCCTTCCCACAGGGCCCAGGACCTGTTATCTGCTCTACTGAAAAGGCACTTTTTTCTTCCTGGGAGAAGTGGCACTTTTCCTAATTTCCACAAGCTAATGGCAGGACAGCTGGCATTCCTTCTTCTCTGCCTCATAAATACTTAATCCATCTGCCTGGCTCTGCCCGCCCCTGAATCTGAAAAATGAAGGCAAAAACATAAAAGCACATCTTTTCTGAGAGCCTTCTATTTTGAAGGGGCTGTCATAGAGACAGCTACCATTTACCAGGTACCTGCAATGTGCTAAGCAGGGACACTCCTTAGCTCTGGTGTTCACAGCCACCTGTAATGGTGGAGACGATTGTTTCTTGGTTACAGAGGAGGCACAGAGAGGGTAAATTACTCCCTCAGAGTCACACAGCTACTAAGTGGGTAGGCAAAGATTTGAACCCTATCCTCTCTGCCTCCAAAGCCTGCACGCTCTCCACTACCCCATACGACCCCCTCACGGGGAGAGGCCAGAGACAGCATTGCCGTTTCCCAACCCCCTCTCGTCTGTGTGTGACACACAGCACACACGCACACCCCCATCTCCTATCCTAGGAGAGGTTCAACTTTTTAAATTAAATGTATTTTAAATAATTGTGTTTGGGAGGGATATTAAAAAATATTTACACCTCCCCTTCCTCCTGCCCCAAATAACTGGTTGGGGACCCTGGCAAGGTGCTGGCCAGGCCGAGGCAGGAAGCTGCCACATATTGCAGTCACGGTCAGAGCCGGTGTGCCCTCCCCACCCAGGGGAGCCTTAGGCTAAGCCAGGGGGGCCAGTGCTCTCTCACCCTGCTGCAAACCCCACATCAGCCAGGATGTGACCGGCAGGTCCCTTTGTCCAGTCCCCTCCCTACTCACCCTCACCCAGCGACAACCTTGCTCTCACATTCAGACACAGCCTGGGGAGTCCCACACTGGCTCTGGGCACGAGGACAGGATGTGGGGACAGCAGGTGCTCCACCTCTGGGCACACAGCCCCCCAGTTTGGTTTCACCCACTAGAACTCATTTCTCAAATGTCCCAGTTTCAGCCTCCCTTCCTGCAACCTTGGCCAAATCGTCCACCCCCAGATTTCTGTCCTCTGCTCCTGGGCTTGGCTGGGCAATGGCTGGGCCTGCTGGGGGCTGATGTGAGCCAGAAGAGCTATGAAAGCAGGAGACGGAGGTGGCGCCAGACGCCTTTCAGGATCTGGGCCTGTCCCAAGCACTAGCACCCCCTGCCCGCCGCAGTCAGACCCATTCTTCCCGCTTGTGGCCTTGAGAACAGAGAGTGCCTGGCCTCCTTGGAGTACAGGCTGCCCTTGGCTACCCACAGCCTGCTCTCGGCCCAGCGCCAACCCAGGGAGCCAGGGACAACCACTGAACCAGATGCAGACCTCCCACACCCATCCCTCCCAGCTAGCCGGGGCCGCTGTCATTCTCTAAGATATGAGCAAACACCTACTATGTGCAGGGTTCTTTGTGGGGGAGAGGGTGCAAGACACAGTAAGCGATGAAGCTCCCCGTCTAGTTGGGAAGACAAGTACCATATAAGGTAGAATTCGTTGCCGAGGGATTGTGCTCATGGGCAAATAGGGTCTATCCAATCAGCACCAGGCATTAACCCTGTGCTGGGGTTTCAAGAAGGAAGACAGAGTTCCTGCCTTCACGAAACACACACGCAGCAAGAAATATAATGCGATGTGCTAAGTATCCAAGACAGGTATAGATGGAGCTTTAGGGGGTGCCAAGGGTGAGGTTCTAGGTCAGGGAAGGCTGCCAGGAGCCCACTCCTTGGCCCTCCAGCAGGACCTCACTCTAGCCTGGACCTGATTTAAACTTTCCTCAAACCAGCCGCCAAACCCCAATATGCTTCCCCGCTGAGGTTAACAGCTCTCCCTCCTCCTCGATTCTGATGACGAGTCTGCGTGTTTAAGTTTCCTTTTGGGCTTTTCTATTTATGTTGTCATTGATTACTTTGCTCCTAACTCCTCTGATTTCAATTTGGACTGATTTGATCCTAATTTTATTACCATGTAATCTGAATGCACAGAATTACTGTAATTATGCTGCTGAGGGAAACAGCTCCCTCACGGCATGAAGACCTAAATTTAGGGCTTCCTGGCAAGGGCAGCCGTTGGCTGGGTGGACCCACAGCCGTCACAGAGCTGGCGGCCTTTGGGAGCACAGATGCCCTCCCCTGCCTCACCCTCGATGAGGCGGATATTTGGGGATTCATTCCAGTGATGGGCTTGAGGACCCTCTCAGGAGCCCCAGGAACACACAGGAGTGTGAGCCGGGGATTGGTGAGCCCACCCTCTCTGCATCCTCTGGCTAACACCACCACCCTCTGTTGCATGTGCTCAGCCTAGGTGTCTCCTCCCTGCCGGCACCCACATACCACCCACATCCCAAGAGTGCCCTACCTCTAGGGTGCAAGATGTCAACAGTCTCCCTAAAAACACTTGGGGAACAAGGAGTCTCCCTGCTAATCCTGGGTTGAGGAAAGCAAGCTGCGACAGAAGGGCCTGGCGCTGACCCTCCTGGATCCTTCTCAGACTTCTGAGCCTAGTCCAAGGCCTCCTCCTCCAGGAAGCCCCCCTGACCCATCCAGCCCTCTCCATACTTTATGTCATTTATGCACGTATAAGGAAGAGACTATTATTATTTCCACTTTACAAAGGAGGAAACTGAGACACAGCAAGGTTATGTACCTTACTCAAAGCCACACAGGGGGTGGGCAGTGAAACTCTTACCCACATCATCACACTGCCTCTTCTAAACACCTAGAGCCTGGTACAGATCAGTCTTATAGAACATACCATACAGCCTGGGGCTGGAAACCATGAGGGCACTTCAGATGTGGGGATCTGAGGACCAGGGAGACAGAGGGGAAGGTGCTGTTGCCCCACCCTCCTTGTGCTAACGAGTCAGTCTTCTCTGCAGCAGAGGCGACGAGGCCCACCGGGACGGTGAGGCGGGGACCCAGGAGAAGGTCCTCGGGAGACTTGGCGGGAAGGGTTAGAAGGCGGCGTCTCCTTTCCCAGGGCTGGATGTCCAAGGAGTGGGGAGTGGCTGGAGGAGCTGGAGAGGCTGCTAATTCTGAAGCGCCTGCTGTATGCAGCTGGTGCCCGGCCCCTGCTGCCTTGGAACAAGCTGGGCACACGACAGGGAGGGTAGGTGGGGGTGTCAGGACAACAGGAAGTGGGGGACCGTGTATGGGAGAAGCTCCTGAAGGAACACGGACGACACATGAAGGAACCAGGCCTGTTGAGCCTGGAGAGAGGAGACGTGGGTGGGGCTGACAGCTGACTTGTGGAGAGATGATGCACTGCTCTACGGTGCTCAAGAGGGTGGAAACAGGACCGCCCCTGACATCAGGAGGCGGATGTGGACCTAAGGAAGCCAGACTGCCAGGAAGTGAGCTCCCAGTGAGAAGACAGATCTAGGCAGAGGCCCCATGCCAAGAGCTCCCCCAGGCCTGGAGCAGCAGCCCAGCGGAACCTGGGGGAGAGAGGTAGCAAGGCAAGGCCTGGGGGTCTGAGATCCTGGCCCAGTGCTCTCTCGCTACTCCATGCTGTTGATCTCCAGGGCTTCAGGAGCCTGTGGTAAAGCAATGGCTGGGGAGAGGGCACACCTTGAGCTTGTCTCCTAACAGGGCAGCTGCCTCAGTATAGAGTGGTAAGCAGGCAGCTGGGGGCTGGAGACCAGAGGAAGGAGGGGGCTGACACACGAGGCCACCTTCCCATTCTGCCGAGAGCTGGTTCTGACCGCTTAGAATGGCACCTTGCGGGCTCTCGTGTATTCGATGTTAGAGAATCTGAAGCCTCTAAAATGATGGGTGGGCCCAGGTAACTCCACGGTCTTACCTACTACGCAACTGCTGGGCAGGTGGGAGCACCTCTGCTTCTGACTCCACATTGGCTCCCAATGTGGAGACCACATTTCAAGGCTGAACCACAAACCCAACAGCAGCCTGAGTTGGGGACATGCTGTTGGAGACAGAAGCTGGAGTGTTCTCAGACCGCACATCGCACTATATACACACCGCACGCACCCTCACACACACCGCAACACGGGCACACCCCCAGCTCATGCCCCCCTGCCACCACCATCCTCCTGCAGGGAGCCACCAGGATCTGGGCCCTGCCCACCTCTGCCCCGAAGCTCACTCACCCAGTGCAGGGGCCTGATGCAGACCTTGGCAGCCATCAGGGGCACCGTGGGGTCCGAGGGCCGCAGCTTCACACACTCCCGCAGCAGCGACACGGCATAGGCCGACTGCAGAAGAAAGAGCAGGCAACACCATCACTCGCAGCCCTAGGTCACAGCAGACTGGGCGCCTGGTGACTACAGTGCGGGGAGCTCCCCAATAGCCAGTCCTTGCTCTGCATGCCTTCCCTCCCAAGCTCCAGGAAGAGAGCCCAGCTGGAGGAGCTCAGGTGGTGCTGGCAGGCAAGTCCCTCCCGGGCCTCAGTTTCCTCATCTGGACAATGGAGGCTGTGACCCTTGCCCAGAGGTGATGTGCCAACAGCTAAGGTAACAACGGATGGAAGCTCTTCAAAAGGACTCCAAAGGTGAACCACAGAAATCTTAGAGGTAGAGAGGGATTCTCTCAAACTTCTCAGTTCAACACCTTCAGTTTACAGGTGACAAGACAAGGCCAAACCCACTTGGGGACTATGTGGAGGAGGCAGGGCTGGTGGAGGAGGTAGGCGGATGCATAAAAGCCGGCAGAGAAGGAAGAGGAGAGAAGCTAAGCTGGTAGAGGCTCCAGACAGGAATCTGGGGACCCCTCAAGGCTCCAGGGATTTAGCTATGGAGACGGAGTCAGACTGGACCTGCTGAGGATGGCCAAGTATGCAGGGAGGGGAGAGCATCCAGAGCCAGGCAGGGATATTACCAATAACAATAATAAGAAGAAGAACACCAGCTAACACTTATCTAGATCTTACTATGCTCCAGGCATTGTTGTAAGTCAGAGGCCAGCAAAACACAGCCCAGACGCCAAATCTGGCCCTCTGCTTACTTTTGTAAATAAAGTTTTATTGGAACTCAGTCACACCCATTCATGTACGTATTGCCTATGGCTGCTTTAATGATGCAAAGGCAGAGCGGAGTAGTTCCCACAGAGACTCTTTGGCCTGCAAAGTCAAAAATGTCTACTATTTGACCCTTTACAGAAAGTCTGCTATTCCAAGTGCTTTATAAATATTAAATCATTTAATTTTCATAGCTCTCTGATGAGGTAGGTGCTATGTCCCTATTTACAGAGGAAAAAACTAAAATGCAGAGAAGTAAAGTAGCCTGTTCAAAGCCACACTGCCCATAAGTGGCTGAGCTGGGGTTTGAACAGTCTGGCTTTAAGCTCGTAACCACTGCCATATCCTGCCTCTGTGGTGACTACCTCAGTCAGGGAGGAGGCCTCTGTCTCCCTGCTCCACACACACACACACACACACACACACACAATCTCTCTCTCTCTCTCTTTCTCTCTCAGGGCTGGAACCTTCTGACTGAGTCTAGCGCTTTTCCAGGAAACTCAGCAGTGACCCCCAGCATGCACACTCCCATACCTATGTGACCTCCAGGTAGGCAGGGGCATGCGTGTGTAACCACGACGATTCCCACATACTGGGCCCTACAGTGGCCCTAGCCCCCCACCAGCACTTAGCTCTCACCACCCCCAGCACTCTGGAGTTACTGCTGTGGAAATGGGGGCTCTGGAAGGCAGCACACAGCACGGCGTGAGGGACTGGCAGATGCAGACCTGGGACCCCATAGCTCTCTGTCCACTCTGGACCCCCTGCCTCTCCCTAGCTACCCCTCCCTTCTCTGCCAAGGAAGAGATTTTCTTCACTCAGATGTGACAGACTGCCCTGGGCTGTGGCTCCGACTTATCAGGCCAATGCCAGGGGTCTTAGGCGGGGCCTGCTCCGTGCCCAGTGCTGGGCTACAGGCTGTGGAGTCACTGTGCAAAGGTGGAAGAGGCCATGGCTCTTGCCTATCGGGTGCCCCCAGACAGGCTGAGGAGAGAAGACAAATGCCACCCTCCCCCACAGCTCTCAGGAAACAAGAGGGTATGAGACCAAGCACAGGAGGGTGTTAGCAGACGACCCGCTCCAGCAGGCCGGGAGACTGCACACGGTGCCTGGCATGGGCTGGAGCAAGGGATGCTACGTGAGGGGCTTGAAGGAGCTGCCAAGCCATCCACCTCCTCCTGAGACCCTCTCCTGTGAATGCCACTTCCAGGGCCCTCACCACGGCCCCCTCCGTCCACACACTCCAGCAAGCCTCAGGCCTCTCCTTGGCCTCCTTCCCTGGGCTGCTGACCTTCGCATCCTTGAAATCCGGGCTTCTCTAACCCTGACCCTCTATGTCCCACCCCCACACAGACCACAAAACGCTGCTATTTAAGGAGCCATCTGAGGACTCCACTGTCGGAGCAGCCGGACTTTTTTTTGTCATGCTGGTTACCTAGCAACGCAGCCAATACGTCTGCCTGCCGGGAGACCAAGAGAAAAAGCGACCTAAATCATGCCATGGAACTTCCTGAGGGTTGAGGTGCCAGATATATTTTTATTTCCGCCCGGCCTCACCTTCTGGAAGACCTTTTGGGCACAATCACAGGTACAGAAGCTTGATTCCCATCTTAGGCTCTTGGCAAAGGTGAGGTACGGCCACTCTTCCGAGAGCCACCTGGGCCAACCCGGCAGACTGACATGGTGTGCAGGGTTTCTGAGGGGGGTGGAGAGTGAGCTTCCAGAACAACCTCCTGCTGCACTGAATGCAGGGGTAGGGGTAACCCCAGTGTCTCCAGCCTGTGGGGCCTCATGCGTGAGGAACTCACCGATCGCCCCAACTCCCTGGCCTGTAAGTCTATTCTTGTGCATTCTTGCTCATCTGTGAAGGAGCTGGGCTGGAACACCAGCTCCCTGGATCCTGGGACGTGTCAGGCTGTGTCTTGGACCTCTCTGAGACTGGCTACTTCTGGGTAAGGAGGTGGAAGACTCCCAGACTAACATGACACCTTCTCCTGAGACTGGGGGGCTTACAGCAGCACTCCTAGAAATTCAAGCTAACTTCAGTGTGTGGTGCACTCTTCTGAGGAGGAGTCCCTAGCTTTCCTCAGCTCCTTAAAAGGTCCATGACCCACAGAAGTCGGAGAGCCACTGCCCTGGCGCTGGGCTTCTCCTCCTGGGCCAAGCTCACTATTACAAGACTAGAGGCACTTCCTCTGTTTCCAGGAGACTGGAAGGAGCTGTCGCATGCCACTGAGCTGTCTACCAGGCTCTACGTAAGCTCCAGCCTTACCCACTCTCCTCCCCTAGGCCTCACCCTATCTCCGTTCCGAAATCTCCCTGAGCCCTGACAAGACTCTGCTGAGTACAGAGCCGGGGTACATCATGTTGTGACTTCAAAATGCTCTGGGAGGTGGGCAATGTGATGGGGGAGGGGGAAGACATTTGGGAAGACAAATGCCTGGCAGAGGGGGCAGGAAGGCTCCTCACTTGAGTCCTGGCTGTACTCCCCTGCCCCTTCCCACCTGTCAGGCTGCAGCACCTGCTCTTGCTCCCCCTCCCTGCAGGACCTGGCCAGCACACTCGCCATTCCTGGAGGCGTCTCTGGCAAGCCTACGAGGGCCCTCCTCGGAAAGACTAGAAATGGCAGGTGGTGCAGATGGGCGGGGAGTGGGGGGAGGAATTCCCTCAGCCCCACGAAAGGGCTCTGGGTGTTTACAGCTCTTGGAACGCTCTGCAAGCTCATGCCACCTTATTTCCTGCATTCGTGGCATTCTCAGCCTCAACACCCTCAGCACCCAGCTCCGGAAAGGTTTTCCTTTCATGTCACTGCTTAAAATAGAGGCTTATGTAAGTGTGATTCTCATCGGAGGAAAAACCAGGGGGTGCTGGAACAGGGCTTGGTGGGTGGAAAGCAAATGCAGCCCAGGACCTGGGATAGGTCCCTATCCCAGCGACCTGGGATAGGGTCAGCCCCTCACTTTGGGCAGAGCGCCTCCTGCCCCTGACCCCACTCAAATGCCTCTACCGCCACACCCACCGCACAGTTCCTCCTCTAAACTCCCCTTTGGGGGCTGCTGCTCCCTCTGCCCTTCAACCCCTTCCTCCTAGGCAAGTTCTGGACTCACAGGCAGGTCTCCTCCTGACGCCACACTCGGTGGGCAGAAGCGAGCTACAGCCAAAGGGAACAGTGTTCTCCTTGCCTAGAACCCACGTCCCATGTCTTTCTCATGTAATTCACCCACAGGAATGCTACGATGCCCCATGTGTCCACATATACTCAGAAAAAAGCACACACAGGCTTGCCCCTGCACATCTGGCACACTCGTAACTCACATGTGGATGCTGGATTCACACAGGGGTCTGTGTGTAACCCTCCCGTACCCTCACTTTCCTCGAGATTAAAATCCGCTGCTGGAAAACATTTCTGAACCACCACCCCGCCTTCTCCCCACCTCCTGAGGGTGAGTGTGCAACCCCCAGCACATCTGGGGCCTTACCTTCCCACATGCCACCATGGAGAGGGCCACTTGGTACCAAAGGTGGAATTCTCCAAACGCAAACTTCATGGCTCGCTCCAAGCACTGAGGAGAGGGAAGTGGTCAGCACCTCCTCACCAGGGGTCCTCCCACCCCCAGCCCATCCCATCCCCTTCAGGGCAATCACTGCCCAAGTCACTTTCTGCGCTTGGCTGCAGGAGGCCCAGACTACTTGCTTCCCAGCAGAGAGCTCCAGGGGTCACACGTCCCTGTCACTGGCACGCTGTGTGACCTGTGCAAGTCTCTCACCCTCTCTGGCCCTCAGTTCCCACCTCCACAACATATGAATGATCTCACGGGCGATGGTGAAATGCGAATGAAATGAGATTTGTGAATGTGCTTTCAAAATGTGGACATCCAATAAAAATAAGAGCAGTGACATTTATCCTTATTGTGCACGGCACTGTTCTCACCTTTTACATGTATTAACTCATTTACTTCTCCCAATGACCCTGTGAGGTGCGTTCTCTAATCAGCCCCATTTCTCAGATGAGGAAGCTGAGGTTGAATGACTTGCCAAAGTCACAGGGCCTGTAAGTGGCAGAGCAGGCTGACTGCAGGGCCTGTGGAGAGCATGCCACCCAAACGTAAAGGCTTTTCTTCGTTCTGCTGTTCTCCACCACCACCAAGGAAATGGACTGCTCCATGGCCTGTCTAGTCCTGGGCAACCTCAAATCAGGGGCTGCCCGGGGACAGCTGACAGTCCCCAACAGAAGTGGCTCCAGGTGATGGAGGCAGGAGCCAGCACGTGCGGCCAGGATTCACTGGGTGGCCATGGTCAGGCGGGGTGGGGGACAGAGGGGAGGGATAAGGGACCAGATGGCACGCACTTTCACAGCTCAGTGGCCTGGGTTCACACGCTGGCTCAACGTGCACTCCCTGTGCCATCCTGGCCAATAAACCACCTCTCTGGGCCTCGCCTTCCTCACTGGTAAACGTGACAGATCACCACTTATCCCGCCCACATTAAAGAAGGTCTCCTCTGAGACAGCACTGTGCATGGTGCCTGGTGCAGGCAGGGGCTCGGCAGTTGTCACTGACTCTCCTTGCAGGAGCCCTCCTGAACACTCAGAAAGAGAATCTACTGCCAAGAGGCCCACTCCCACCACAAGGAGCCAAGGGTCCCAAATGTGTGTGCCCATGTGCACTGTGGGCAGGGGGCAGCAGAGAGGGGCAGCTTGGTGCCTCTGGTCCCCCCACCCAGAGAGGCACCCCCCTGGGCACAGCCCATGGAGCATTGCCCCAGCAGGGTCTGACCAATAGAAATGGGGGTGTCTGTTTAGGCTGGGCGGGAGGGGTCCAGGCTCCCGACACACAACCAGCTCAGCACCCTGCCAGGAGAGGCAGTCACAAAACGCCAGTGTTATCTCTGGGGGAAATGGAGGGGTGGGTAATTTTCCTCTCGTGCTTCTCTATACAATGCCATGTGTTCTTTCAAAAGAAAAACACACAAAAACGTTAGTAAAACCAAAAAACACCCCGTCAGTGAAGGGCAGCTCTCTCAGCACTGGAAGTGGAACAGCCCCAAAGCTGGCCTCCCAGAAAGTGAGCTCGACCCCAGGTGGAGGCAGGGAAGGGACAGTGAGGGGGACAACTGGGGGATCCATCTAATTTTCCCTGTGCACCACTTGACTCCCAGGCGGGTGGGCCGACTGTACCTCGGAGAGCATGACGTACTGTCCCCTCCTGCCCAGCGTGATGCTCAGGAGGTCGTAGATGGCGGCAGCGTTCCGCAGGCTCACTGCCCGGTCCTCCTCCTGCTCCGGCGCCCGGCTCAGCACCACATCCCGAGTAGCCTGTGGGGGGACGTGGTTTGGGAAAGAGTGAGGACAGAAAATAAGCAGGTGCCTGTCCCCACAGGACCCCTGCCTCATAGGCCCAGCGACTGTCACCCTTTCGCTGTCGACCCAGGCCAGGCTGGTGGCCACACTCCCAGAAATGGCCAGAGCCTTTCCCACTCCCACAAAGCCCTTCTCAAGAAAGAAAACCCTCCACTCTTAGCCCAGGTTGGGGTGAGGAAGCAGTTGTGAGGGCTCAAGCTCCGGGTGGTCAATGTTTTATTCTGCAAAATCTCAAAACTACAGGAAAGTTGTAAGAATAGTACCACAACAGTACACCCAATTGTTAACATTTCCCACATCTGCTTTGTCTCTCTATAACATACTATAATAATAACATAATAATAATAAGTCAGTTAAGGCAATATGACCCTTCACCCCTAAATACAAGAGAACTTTCTTTCATAACCACAACAGAAATGCCAAATTCAGGGACTGTAACACTGATGCTACTGTCACCTAACATCAGTTCATAGTCAGATTCCGCCACCTGTCCCACTGATGGCCTTTCTAGTAGTTTACTTTTCCTCGTCCCAGGATCCAATCCAGGATCACGCCTCACATCCAGGTGCCACGTCTCTTTAGTCTCCTTTCATCTAGAAGAGTCCCTCAGCCTCTCTGTCTGTCAGGACACTGGTGTTTCTGAGGAGTACGGGCCGGTTGTTTTGTGGAATACTCCTTGTATATTTGTGAATGTCCACCCACAGCACAGATCAGGGGCTTGACTCACGGGGAGTGGGGAGCTCGGGCTGCGGCTCCTTGGTGCCCTCCTCTCTTCCTCTGAGGGTCCCCAAAGCCCTTCTGATGAGGACCCCCATACCTCCTTCCCTCACCCCCGTGTCCAGCCCAGACCCTATCCTTGACCCCCTCCAACCACGGAACTCTCCTCCCCAAAAAATCTCCCCCATGCTGGAGGCCTCTGTGCTTGGCGTCCAGCACCCAGGATTTCAGGAGCTCAGAGTCACCAGGTGGCTGCTCAGGGAGGGGAGGGTGAGGGAAACCATGCTTCTAGAGAGCGATTCTGTGCAATCTGCAGGGGGGAGTTCTGTATCACCAAGCCTGAAATCTCACCATCAGGGATTCAAGACCCTCTTGTTCTGTGGCCTGTGGCACGAAGTCCTACCCCGCACCACCCACCGCCATACACTCACACGCTGGGGAAAGCACTCAGGCTTGGGAGTAGCTGAACAGGAGTCAAGACATGGGGGGCTCAGAGCTGAGCAGCAACAGGGCAGGGACCAGCCTGGGGATGCTCTGGGACCCCCATCTTCCCCCTCACACATACACACATTCTTAGGCTGTGCCTGAGCTGAAGCAAAGCTGGGTTCTGGCCAGATGCTCCTGCTGGCTGCTCCCGCATCCTCTCCTCTCCTGCCTCTTCTCCCCTTGCCAAAGGGGTCTCTTCCCACCATCCTCCTCCCTCTGTAGAAGAGTCTGAACCCTCTCCATGTGTTGGGACTCGCCCTCCTCTACTTCCCCACACAGGACCTCAGAACCAAGGACTTGGCCTTCCTGACAGAGAAAAATGAAGTGGCTGGCCCTTAAAACCCAAATCTCCCTGGTCAGATCCAGACAATCCTTCCCATCCACAGATGGTCCTCACATCCTCCCTCTGGGCAGGTCTACTAGCCCCTCCTTCAGGTCAGGAGATGAGGTTTCCAAGGGCAAGTGGCTGCAGAGGTAGAAGCCCAACAGCCTTTGGACTGTAGGCTCTGGATGCATCCTGCCATGAAGGCCTGAAGTGCGTTTCCATAGATGCTTCCAGAAGCCAAAATGTCTGTAAGACCCAAGGAAGTGACTCACCCACAGGGGCATTTCGGGCAGTAAGGCAGCAGTGGCCAGGGGTCCTGACAGCTGCATCTCCAGCCACAGCAGGTGAGGGCTGCCCACTGCCCACATGGACATGGACCAGCTCCAGGAGAGGGGGCCAGGGATGCCAGAAGATCCCCGGAAAGTCTGAGCACTGGTGCCAGCCTGGTAAACAAGAGCTGGCCAGGAACTCCAAAGGGTTAAGGGAGGGGAGTGAAGAAGGAAAGTGCCAGAGAAATCCCCCTCCTTCCTGGTGAAATCCACCCACACAGTCACCAACAGGAAGACAGAAGAAATTCTAAGGAGAGGCTTGGCAGGAGCTATTTCACTGAGCGAAGTAGGAACATAAAACTTGCTCTGTGCCTGACCATGTACCTCCCCACGCCTCCACCTCCAGTAACTCCCCAGCTCTGGCTGCCCAGGGTGGGGCCCAGAGAGGTGGCCTCCACAGGCAGCAATGGGGGGAAGGGGGCATGGGAGGTTAAGGAATGAGAGGATGGGAGACACGGTCCCTGCTCTCAAGGAGGCTATGGAAACCGACAGCAGTAGTACACAAAGCATAGCCCCGTGAATCTGACCTAGAATTCTGGTGGGAGAAGGTCCTGATGGAAAGAGGGAAGGGCAGGCAGCCTGTAGGGGTGACTTTTCTTTGGGGCATGGGGAGAAGCCAAGCTGGGCACATCCAGGATCTGGGGACCCATCCACACAGAGCAGTCTCATTCGGGGCTGGTGAGCAGCAAGCTGTCACCACAGGCCTCAGTGTGGGTTGGCCTGTCCTTGACGAGTAGCCCCTGCCAGACCCCAACTCCCAACGCCCCCACCCAGACTGCCCAGGATAACGTCTAAACTCCTTTCTGTGGCTGTGATACCAGGCTCTTAATTTTTTTTAAATTTATTTGTCTATTATTTATTTTGGTGAGGAAGATTGGCCCTGAGCTAACACCTGTTGCCAATCTTCCTCTTTTTGCTCAGAAAGTGTCCTTGAGCTAACATCAGTGCCCATCTTCCTCTCTTTTGTATGTGGGACACCTCTACAACATGGCTTGATGAATGGTCTAAGTCCGCGCCCCGGGATCCAAACCCATGAACCCTGGGCCACTGAAGCGGAATGCGCCGAACTTAACCACTACGCCACCGGGCCAGCCCGATACCAGGCTCTTGACCATGAGGCCCTGCCCTCCTAGCCAGCTTCTCCTCCTCCCCAGCTCCCAAGTCCTCCCCCCAGCACCCTGTCCTCACCTCGGCCTGTCTTTGTTCCCTCTGTCAACTTGGACGCCTTCTGGCTCCTCACAACTCAACTCAGGTATCTGTCCCTTCAGTGCTGTCCCTGACTTATCTCACCATGCGAGGCTGTGTCCCTCTCGTCCTCTCCCAACACTGGGCACACACCCTGGCCCCCACACGCCGAACTGGTTTGCCAGCTCTTGGGCAAGGACATGTCTCGCTGTCTCTAGACTCCCAGCCCAGCACAGGCTCACACACAACACTCTCCTCCGTCCACATCTGTAGAACAAGTGACACTCGAGAGAGATTTCTGGGCTGGTGTGGATACTGCCTCCTGTCGCCCTAGACCTTGACCTTTAAGAGAACAGTGTCTCTGAATGTGTGCCTGGTGGGAGGGAGGGGTGGATTTCCAGGACTGGGCGTGCATTAGGTCAAAGAACAGGAACAGAGGAGAGGATGACAGCAGCATCTCCACAGCCGAGGGACCAGGGGCCCCCAAGGGGTAGACAGCAGGGAAGATGTCTTCTCAGGGGTCCTCAGGACTTGGCACCTGTGCCAAGCGGGAAGTGTGGTTCCCCAAAGGAAAACCAAAAGCAGAAGTTTACCGAGTGGTTGCTATGGCTCTGGGGCAGGGCTGCGGAGACACGCACCAGTGCTGGCTGGGCAACTCCTAAGTACGTAACCACGGCAACAGGGTGGGGTGGAGGGGGAACTGGGTAGAAAGAAGGAAGCCCTGGGGGTTGGTGACAGGGTAGGAATTCCTGTGCAGCTGAGGGGCCAGAGCAAGCCTCAGAGGACAGGGCCTCAGACACCCTGAGGCTTCAAGGCCCTCCCCAGGCGCCCCAGCTGTCCTGCTTCCTCCTCCCCCGGCTCACCTCCCTTAGGCCACACAGTGCTCCTGCTCTATCAACAGCCTGCCTTGAACTAGCCTCCACCACACCCTTCCTCTTCCACCATTTAAATGGTCTCGCCAGGAAACTCTCCAGATCACGTGCAGTGAGATGTGAATGCACCTATGACCCTTAAAACAATATATGGACACTAAATATTCTTCTCACCACCGTACTCCTTACTAGTCTTGGAATCATGGCAGGATTCTCCCCTGCTTTCTCCCTGCAAACCCCCAGGCCCACCCTCAGGCCTCCCACCTCTGGGGGCGCACTGTTCTTATTTAGTCCACACATTTAATCCCAGGCACAGCTCAGCACTTGTCCCGGCTCCCCGCCTTGGCCCCTCTGGCTGTCCTCCCAGGGTCAGCCTTCCCCAGACTAAAGGACATTCACCCCAGGCCCTCAGCAGGTCAGAAAAAGAAAAGCCAAAGAAACGTGCTCCTCCCCATCCCCCCTCATCCAACAGCGCATCACTGCCAGCAGGACCCACTTGGGGTCTTCGGGCAAGTATCCATGAAGCAAACATGGGGCTTCATGAAAAGGCCCGTGAGGGAATCTCCATTTCTCCAGGCGGGACAGCCCACCTGAAACCAAAGGCAGGGCAACTCTCGCTCAAATAGCCATCCCTTATGCATGTGCCATGCATTTTAGGAGCTGAATTATCACTGCCATCATCTCATCTGGCCTCAAAGTAACCCCAGGGAGGAACAGGATGAACCACTGACGCCCCTTCTGCAAATGAGGAAACTGAGCCCCAGAAGGTGAACTAGCTTGTACAAAGTCCCTGGGAGTTAAGGCTGAACCTCTGACGGCCAGTCCAGGACAGCTTCTGCTGTCCTGTGCTCCTGCTGCCTCGTGGGCCTCCTGTGCCAGCCCCAGTTCCGACCCTCTGCTGAATGCAGGGCCTCAGACAGCACTCACCTTCGCGTCTGCCCAGCCCTGTTCCTCTTCTCTAATCCTGGATTACACACAGGGTAAGAGAAGGAAAGGGAACCAACTTGAGGAGTGCTTTCTTGAGGCGTGGCATTTCTCACGCACTGTTGCTCTATTTGACAGAGGAGAAGACTGAGTGAGGCTTAGGGAGACCAGGTAGGCTCCCCAAGGCATACAGATAGCGGGTTGGAACCTAGACTAGAACGTGGACATTCTGACTTCACCCCTAGGCTCTTGCCTCGCCCCCAGATGCCTCCGAGGAGGTGTCCAGTAGCCTCGTCCATGCCATCAGAGGCCCTGGGATGGCTCTGCTTGTGGAAGAACCAAAGCAAAATACAGGCTGGGCTTCCCAGTCAGGCCCAGGTGCTGCTTCTCTGCAGAGAACCGGCTCCTTGCCCAGTGTGTCCAGGGCCCCGCTCAGCCCTGTTCTTGGACAGCGCCTCTCCACAGCCAAGGACCCAGCCCCACAGCCTGCTGCTGACACCCCACAACAATCACCCTGCAAAGGATCTCCTCGCAGCACCTGTGCCCGGTGCCTGCCCCTCCCTGGAGGACGCCGTCACGTTCCGCTCGTGCTGTCGTCCCCCACCAGCAGACATGATTACCACTGCTCTCGAGCTGCCAGTCCACAGAGCCAAGAAATAACATGCTCTGTGATGTGTCCCATCCACCCAGCGACCCGGGCCAGGCCCACGCTGACCCCCGCTCTCCCGCCGCATCAGGCTCCTGCGGCAGATATCACAGCTCCTCCTGCCAGCGCGAGGCGAGGCTCTCCCACCTCCACTGAACCGGGTGTTCTGAGCTGGCAGCGTTATCAGACCCTTTACCATCACAGTGCGGCAGAGCAGGGCCTCGTGTTAGGGCAACCCAGGTGCCAAACGCTGAAACAACCCGTGCTCATCTGCTGAGACCCAACCAGAATCAAGCCCAGGAAGCACTATTTTTTTTTTTTAACTGAATGGTATCCTCAAACCGATTTTTCCTAAATGTTTTCTAAGGAATCTAGTATTTATCAGGACAAAATGAACAGGTGTTAAACATCTGCAATGTACCAAGCATCTTTGTGTTCATTTTCTCACTTAATCCGCCCAAACCCCCGCAGGAGAGGCCTTATTAGCCCCATTTTACAGACGAGAAAACTAAGGATCAGGGAGGTGAGAAACTTCCTCAGGCCACACAGGATGTGAATGGCAAATTCAAGATTCAAATCACCAGATGCCTCCCATGGGGTACGGCACAAAGTTAGTTTGTCCCAGAGGCTCCCCTACCCACCCCACCCTCGCCAAACCCAGGCCTCGGTGCCTTTCAGTTCCCAAGAGCCCAACACCAGCAGCAACTTCTCCCCCAGCTGAATGAAACAGGCACCCGAGGATTCAGTTTGCTGTAGCACATATTTCATGCCGTAGATTGGTATTTTAGAAATGGCCAACATTCCTGTACCTCCTGGTTCCCCAACTGTTTGAGAAAACCAGCCTGGTTTTGATATATGGTTCTTTCAAAAACTAGAATATGCATTTGGGGCTCAGCAGATTGGGGTAATCCCTTTTGATTTGGGGACAAGGATTTCCTCCACGTCCCTGGATACCTATTCCACTAGGTGGGAGGCCATCTGGGACAGGGGCTAAGATTGAACCGTTCGTGACTGTACCTCCAGTGCTGAGCATGGCCCGGCACGTTGGAGCTGCTCAAATAAGACTGGATGGATGGATAGACAGATGGTTAGATGGGTGGGTGGGTGGGTGGATGGACAGATTTTAAAATGCACTTTTGGCCCCCAAAGCTCAAAACTGGGTCCATAACACAGATCTTCTTCAACCAGTTATAACTCATGTCCCTTGCATTTCTGTGAAAGCATTTGTAAGGTTTCTATTTACCTCTTGCAAGACAAAGACTCCCCTATTCATTCTCATCACTCAGTCAGCCGGTAACAAAAACCATATCCAAGGTACCAGCCCCACACCCAGACCCCACGCAGGCTACTCCTGAGATCCAAACCACAAAATAGGGGCTGACGTGCTCAGGAAACCTGTAAACACCTTTCCTGGAGCAGCTGCCTTGGTGACCCTGGAGGTGGAGAGCTATGATGGTTATGCCTCCTGGTCTAGCTGTGCTGGAATAGCTTTTACTACAGCATAATGAATTCTGCAGGTCTTAGGAGAACCCAAGCAGCAGCCAAGGCAGCCAGCTTCTGTTCTAGAGGTTTCTCTCTCTCGTCTGCAGGCCAGACCCAGCCAACATCAAAGGGAGATGAGGAAAATCCTGCAGATGATGGAGGCCAGGCTGACCCTCAAGGTTCAGCTGAGGGGTCAGAGCAGAAGCCCGGAGGCCAGCACAGTGGCGCCCACACCTGATCAAGAATGTGACATGCAGGGAAGGAGGGTGCAAAACAAGGGCAAGCGAGAAGTCAGGGGTGGTCTGGTCACTGAGAAACTGCTCTGAGTCACAGCAGCTAGATCTAGAACCCAGGTAGAAAGCCCTCTGTGGATGAGACACCAAAGCTAAGTCCAACGCCAACACTCTCCCCCAAATTCCTGAAGTTTCTAAATGTGTGACGGGCTGGGTGTGAGCAAGAGGAAACAAACCAGCCAGCCCTGGAAGAATGCCTCCTCCCAGCTACTGTGCACACGGCATCTGAGCACTTCCTCTGCTCTGCATGCTACGGGGAATTCCCAGGACACTGCCAGGCCAGCTGGCCTGGACCCCCCTAGTCTCCTGGGCACGCCAGACAGCCACACAGCCTCTTGTAAAAGAGAAAGAGCTGCTTGGAAGGAAACCACACATTCAGGAAAATTCACCTTGGCTTCAAATGTGGACCACCTTTTAGAAAAAGGCCATTCTCCACTCTGAGATATAGGGCAGCTTGAGGGTTGGGGTGGAGGGGGGTCCTCCGGTCCTGGGCACCCAGATCGTTTCTGGTTAATCAGGGACCCAACTCATGGGATCTTGGTTTCTTAAACTCCACTTCCATGCACTGCTCCAAGATACCTTGTTTTAAAAAACCTAATTTCCAACCTGGAGGTTCCCAGCTCACAAGCTCTGACGGGCCCCTCCATCAGAGGACACCCCCACACCACTCCATGTGGACAGCACCTCCACATCTAGATTCTGCTGCTTCTGCCCACCCCTCCTCCATCTCCCTTGGACCAGACGAGGCCATCCTGCATCTCACCTCCTCCTGGACCACCCAACCACATCTCTCTCCTTCATTGAGCCTCCAAAGCCCATGTGTGTGTGTGTGTGTGTGTGTGTGTGTGTGTCTTTGCCTGTCTCAGGGCAGGGGAAATGGGTCTTGTGAAAAATCTAAAGAGCACTCCACACATGCTTTGTCCAGCACACCTTACCACCCTCTGCTTTATTTTCCACGGCACTCAGACACTGACACCCTGGGACTTTCGGTTAGTTAATTTATTGCCCAGCTCCCTCACTAGAATGCATGGTCGACGAGGGCAGGGACTCATCTCCGTTTTCTTTGCTGCTGTGTCTCTGGCATTTAGAACACAGCTGGCACAAAGCAGATGATCCTCAATAAGCAGTTGTGTGAAGGAGTGAATTCCTTCTGCAGGCACACTTACCTCTGTGAGTTACTCTCATCTTACAGGTGAGGAAACTGAGGCTCAAAGGGATTAGGTGAGTTGCCCAGGGCCCTCAGCTAATGAATGGCAGAGCTGGAACCTGAATCCGGGCCTTCCGCCTTGAAAGTGCATGCTCCTTCCACCCCCCCATATTGGTCACAGAACCCAACACAGAGCTGCTCAAAGTATACAACTCGCTTGCTGATAATCACCTTTTGTAATCCCAGAAGAGGTGGGTGGGGACTCCTTAGCTCAGTCCCTACTCATTTAGGGGCAGGCCCCAGGCCCCCAAATGCAGCCTTGTGCACCAGACCCACACCTAACGAGTGAGCCTCACCCCTGTGTGGCGGAGCAGATCCAAGAATCCTGCTTCAGGCACATCTCTGGGAGGCCTGCTCAGCCAGGACCTGGTGGCCTGTGCCTGAGCCCCCAGCCCTACCCCACAGGGCAGAGGAGGAAGGCCCTGGAGCTTACCATTGACTCACTGATGAGCAGCAGCAGGAGGGCCTCCTCAATGTTATCCTTCGGGCAGTAGAGGCTGGAAGACACAAACGCAGGGCCCTCAAGAGGCAGCACAGCGGCCTTCTGCCCTGGAGTCAGCCCCAGCCCTGGTAAGGTGACCCTCTCCTGCATAATTCACAGGCACTGGATACCGCGGCAGCTCTTTATCATGCCCCCAAGTTATGGATCTGAAAGGCTGTGGTGGGCGGGGCCAGAAATACTGCAGATGCTCCTTGGAAAGCAATAGCTCTTCCAGCACCCAGTGCTGTGTGAAGCCGGGACAAGGAGCAAGGAAGAGCGAGAAAGAAGCTCTGCCAGGCCCGTCCTAGACCCCACCTTCAATGATTGGCACCAACAAGAGAGGAGGTGTAATAAGACTATTAGGAAGGTGGGTAGCCCCCAAATAATCTGTGTGGCCTTTGGATGTGTTAGAGGATTCTCCCCCTAACCCCACCCTGAGACCTGCCTTCTCTAGTCTAGTTGGCTCCTCTGACGCTGAAGAGCCTGCCTGGCAGTGAGCTGTGGGGGCTGGAGGAGAGCACGGGGCAGAGAGGGGCCCCCAGCGGGACTGAAACCTGGGTGTGGCGTGAGACGGGTGTGGTCTGGCAGAGCTTACTTGTCTCCTTCGTAGAGGTGAGGTTTCCGCAGGGCCTGCGTGATGAAGGAGTTCTCCTCCTTGCTCATGAACTCGGGCAGCGGGTGGGACAGGGGGCTCCAGTAGCACTCCTCACTCAGGGAGTGCAGCAGGACCCCTGCCAGGTGCTTGGCTGCCATCTGGCAGAGAGGGAGGAACTCAGACCCAGGCACCCGTCGGCTCTCCCCTGACGCAGCCTGGAACGCCTTCCACTCACCACCCAGCCAAATCTGCCTGCCTTGCAACGTGCCACCCCGCCAGGGGCACACCACCCCACTCCCAAGGAGCCCCCTTGCTTCTCGTGTCTCCAGCACTGAGGCTACCCCACCCCCTCTGTTGGCGTTTGATGGCTCCTACTTAACCCTTTATCCTCTCTCCTCTACGAGACAAGAGGGTACATTTCCTCCTTCTCCTGACCCCATGGAGCCCAGCATACTCTAAGTATTCACAGGCCCTTGCAGAGCATACAGCCACGGGCACGGGTAGCTCTCTCTACCAGATACCATTCCGATATTTGATTCTAGAGTGAGAAGCAGCTGTTGCTCTGATTTGGGTGTGAATGAAAGACTGAGAAGGCAGGCCTGAATTGGGGGAGGAAGGAAGAATCAAGGTTATTTACTAAGATCATAAAGAAATCCCTAAGAATCAGCACATCACCTTGCTAGGAAAGGGTGGCAGTAGGTTTTAACACTGATCTAACGCTAGGGGCTGTCTGCAGTGCTGTGATAGAAGGATGCTTCCCAGGCTTAGTGGGGAAGACACCGAGAAGGAATAATGATGTCTGCCACGAGTAATCACCCCTGATTCAGGGGCTCCCCGCTAGGACTTTCGTTGTCTTCCACTGAAATCGACCCCTGAATAAACCAACCACAGCCAGCACCCAGCCCCGTGTCCTCCCCTGCGTTACCACTTTGAAGTTCTGAGTTGCTTTGGTCTCCACAGTCCGTAGGACCTCCCGGAGCTCTTTCATGCCTTTCACGATGTTCCTGTTGGGAAGACAGGAGAAGCAGGGTCATTACCAGCCTAGTTCACCCAAAGACATCCTCAGCAAACCTGCAGACACTAGGAGAAGGCTGCCTGAGTTTTATTTGAAAACATTCAATAATTGGAATGAAAGGTCAGAGCTGTAACACCAGGACCCCAGAGGGCCAGGACATCATCGATCAAAGAGCAGAGGGATCTTCTCCTCCAACACCCCCCCACCGCGTAACTCAGGCCTCTAGTCACCACCAGAAGGGAACCAAGATTATTTCAAACAAGGTGTTACCTTGGCCCAAGAGCCTTGGGCTGGGGTCAGACTTTCTCATCTGAGTCAGCCTCAAATTCTCCATCTTCACCCACCACACGCAGCCAACACTAGAATACACCCTCACCTCTCGGTCCCTTCCACCAGGGCCCTAGACCGGCCTGCGTCACTGGTCCTGGATGACCACACCACGGTCTCACTCCCTCCAGTCAGCCCTCTGAGCCTTGAAGTAGTTTTCAAGCTTTTTAAAGTGTGACGCATAGTAAGAAATACATTTGACACTGCAACCCAGTATACACACACATTTTTCTTAATAAAGTTGAAGTAAGTTTCTGAACACATTACCTAACTCTACTATGTGCAATCCACTCTGATATTTTCTATTTTACATCTCCCCCTATTCCTCTTGTTTAAAATCCTGGCTGCAGCCCTCTAAATAGATCTTGTAACCCACTAATGGGTAGTGGCCTGCAGTTTGAAAAACTGCTTCCACAGCCCCTCGAGGGTTCTACCTGACATGCAAAAGTCATCTTGCTCCTCCCCAGGTTGTCCCCTTTGTCTTCAGTGCCCCCAGGGCTTACAGAATCCAGTCTAGGCCCTCAGCAGGGCATCCCAGGGCTATCATGTCTGCCCCTCACCTCTGTCCCCATCTCATCTCCCACTCTTTTAAGTCCTTTCTGAACAATCGACCACAGTTCCCTACGTCAGATCTTGGCACAGGCTTCTCCCAGTGCCTTAAACATCCTTTCCCCTATTCATCCTTGAAAAAACTCCTTCCAACATCCCTTCCTCCTTGTGGCCTTCCCAGACTCCCCCCACACCTGCCCCTCCTAACTGCGTAGCACTTGTACCCTGTTAATTCCTCTCCTGAAGCAAGCACGACATTGCGTGGTCATTTTCCGTTTATAGGCTGACCCCTCATGCACCGAGTGCCCCTCTGAGGGCAGGGCTCCTGTCTCGTTCCTGAAGCTCGGCCCCAGCACAGCTCCTGGCACCCAGCCTATGCTAAGCAAATGTCTGAGGACTGCCTTTCTTATTTGCTCCGGCAGCTTCCTGGATCACAGCACACAAGGGAAAGCAGAGGTTGCCAGGCCAGCAAATTCAGAAATGAAAGATCACAGAGAGTGAAAAGCCAAAGCTGGCCACCAAAGAAGCCACACGAGCCCCTCCTGCAACTTTCATGCACAAAACAAATTCTTGGGAGCTTTGGGGTCTGGAGCTGTAAAAGATCAAGCCCCTGCCTTCTGGGAACCTCTGATTTCATACAAGCAAGCCCCAAATATGCAAATTACCAATAATATAAACACAGACCCTTGTTTGTAGGGCTGAGAATGGAGACAAAGACTCCTAGGGTGGAGTCAGAGTGACAACGACCTTCCCTAGTCTGCCCAGAGCTTCTGAAGAACTGGGGGGGGGCAAGCAGGACAGGACACCACAGTACCCTCAGAGATGGTTCAAGTCTGGATGTGGCTACTGATGGCCAGGTGGCCCAGGGAGGCGAGCTCACCTCTGTGGGCTGTGCACATGGTCTCCTGCTCTATAAAATCAGTCCGTCAGTTTAGATCAGTGTCTCTCAGACGTCTGTCATCTGCACACCACATTTACAATTTTTGCTACGAGCTGCACACCATCAGTGTTATTATTTATGCAGTACTTTTCTTTATATCTTCTTTCTTTTTACTTCAGTAGATATCTCACCTTAATCAAAAATACCCGAAATCATGGATTCGGTGTGCTGGTTATTTTTTTGCCAATAGATATCAAACACAGAAGTACGTTTAAAAAGTTAGTCTGTGTATCACTTACAACCACCTTGTGTATCACTGGAGGTACTCATCCCACACTTTGAGAAACAACGGTTTAGATCACAAGTTCTCAAAGTGTGGTCCCTGGACCAGCAGCATCGGCATCCTGGGAACGTTACTAGAAATGCAAATTCTGAGGCCCCCCCTCCAGACCTGTTGAATCAGAAACTCTGGGATGGAGCCCAGTATTCTGGATTTATCAAGTCTCCAGAGGGTTCCAATGGACACTCAAGTTTGAGAACCACTGGTTTGGATGTTCCCCAGCGTCTTCTAGTTCTCCTATTCTAAGAAGCCAGATTCCAAAGGGACAACCTGACACGGAAACCCCAGCTTTGCAGCCAGATCCTAAATCTGTAATCTTGGGAAGCAGGGCAGCCTCTCTGAGTCCTAGTCTCCCCATCTGTAGGAAGAGGATTCCTCATTTGCCCACAGTGCTGTCAGGAAGATGAACGTACGAGAAGCTCCAAGCACATCCAGACATGTGGTAGAGGCTTACTAAATATTAGTTATTTTCCATTCTCCTTCTAACTTGGGTCTTAAAGATCATATTACCTATCTTAATTTGCCACATTATTTTACATGGACGGTTAAGAGTAGGGGGAGGAAGAGAAGTTCCCAAGGGGATCCTTCAGCTTTGTGTCCATCTTTCTCCTTCCATCATCCCCTACCCCACAGGGGACATACAAACAGGATTCCCAGGTAGACAAACCACGCGCCTGCAGACGGGCTGGGAGCCCCCACAAGCCTGAGTCTGCGGCAGAGGCCTTTCAGTCCCACTGAGGCCTCTGCCTTAGAAAAGAACCCAGAGCTGGACAGCAGGCCATAGGCCATAGGCCAGCCAGCTGAGGGCATAGCCTGACACCAGCCAGTTCCAGGAGAGAGAAAAAAGACAGACTGCACGAGCTCCCAGCAGAGAGGAAATGGCTGGCTCTGGGAACTCACCTGCAGCAGAGTTCTGCCCTGGCAGCTGGGCCAACGGCCATGGCTGAGGCGGGCTGGACGCCGGGGCTACCCCACGGCCTTACGGCCCAGAAGAGGCTGGTGGCTCCCAGAACTTGTGGGTGATTTTCCACTCTGTGGGCCACCTGCCAGCCTCCTCCCTGGCAGCCTGGCCCAGGCTTCTACCAGGAGGCCAGAGCCAAGAGGGACCGTGGTCCCTTCTTCCTGCTCCAGTGCAAGGACTTTGCCTCTCTCTGCCTTTAGTCTCTACATCATCAACACTGGAAGAGTGCTCCCACACCAGCAGCACCGGCACTGCCTGGAGGCTTGGGAGAAATGCAGACTCTCAGAGACCCTACTTGCGTCAACACACACACACACGATGAAGGAATCAGAACTGCCTTTTAACAAGATCCTATGTCCAAAAAGTTGTGCATTTTTACTATTTTCAAATCTATAAGGGATTATGGTAATCTACAAGGGATTGTGGTATCTAAATAAGCTCCCAGGAATTCTTTAGCAAAGTAAATAATCACCCTCAGGCATCTCTTGGGCAAATCCCAATTTTTATTGAATGTCTGTAAAGAGAAAAACCAACAGAGAGGTTCCACTGGCCAGGGCTGTACAGGGAGAGATTCGGGCTCCCAGCTGGCGCTGACCCATTCTGAGATGTTAGGAAGGCCTCTCTATCTCAGCTCGCCCCTCTGGGAAACAGAAACCAGATGGGGTTTCTCCCCACAGCCTGAGTGATCTTGCCCCCAGTCTAAGGCTGCCCCTGCCAGGTGGAGCTGGGGCTTTTCCAAGCCCCTGAGAGGCCAGCTGAAAGATCTCTTTGTTCTGGTCTCTCACGCTGACCTTTCTGAGCAAAGCCGCCACTTTTGACTATATTCGAACAGGGCCTCGAACAAACCCTGGCCCAGAATCAGGCTGTGTGTGGAGAAGCCAAGAAGCTGCTGATTCCAACTCAAGTAAAGCCTGGCTGGCCAGGAACAGAAAGAGGAGGTGTGCATGCCAGGATGGGTCAAGGAAAACAGCTCATCTTAGGAGGCTTCCAGGTGGGAGGTGCAGGGAGGTGGTACGCTCCTCCGGTCCCCTCATCAGCAGCAGGCAGCAGCCACGCAGATTTGTCAAAGCGCCTCGTCTCATTCAGTCTTCGCAGCTTCTGATGACGTTGGTGAGGCTGGCTTCATTAGCCCAGGTACCAGCGCAACACTGGGCATGCAGAAGGCACTCAAGAAGTCATTTTCCAATAGGAAAATGAAAGCCTGGGAGACGCTTGCCTCTCCAGGCTGTCACTTACCCAAGGGGAGAGGCGGGCTTACTGGAGGCACAAGGGGGTTCAGATTTTACCGCCTTTTAACTAAAAAGACCCTCGAGAAAGACAACACCTGTTTTTGGACCTGGCACGGTTACACTTTCCTTTCCTGGCCATTTGAACTCCAGGACTCCCAGGACTCAACTAAGTCTCTACAAAGTGCCTACTGCAAGCAGTCCTTATCCTCACCAGGAACCCAACAAACACTGCTGGAATGAACTAAGAGACTGGATGAGTGAATGAACATCTTATTCACGGCTCTGCACAGAAGGTCTGTTAAATTAGCCACACTCTTGATTTATTCATAGCTTAAAAAGCATTTTGTATACAGTAGGTGCTCAGCAAATTTTTTGGTGGGGGGGACTGTGGTTTGATTTGAACAGAGAAGGAGAAACTGCATGGGATTTATGGTTGAATGGAACCTAAACAGACACTGGTGCCTATGATCCTGACCAGAAGTCCCCGTTTCAGGGTTGGCACTGCTAATTGTGTATGAGAGGTTTCTGGTCAAAAACCCACAAGAGCACAGCCAGCTGGCAGATCCCAACAGCTGGAGGGTTGAATCAGGAGTCAAGGTCAGGTGAAGTTCAAATGGTTATCAAGCTGTTCACTCCCGCCATAGACCCACAGCATCTGTTTCAAAAACTAAAGCTCTTGTCTTCATCCCCCAGCCCCAGAAAA